GAGGAGCCGAGGAATGGTAGCCTCATGCCCAGGCTTCTAATTGGGAGGAGGTTAGCTCAACCCAGCAGCTCAAGAGAGCAAAAGCCTTGCTGTGGATGCTGGGACTTGAGTCTCCTCAACCTTTGTTCCACGGGTACCTATCAGATGCTCGAATACCTCAGGATGTCTGAGACGTTTGGCCATCTGTTCGTGATGTCAAGAGTCTGCTGAGAGGAAGAGAGGAGTTATGTACAGACAACAGCACGGCCGCAGCCACCCTCCCTGTGCTTGCTCACAGATTGCATGGAGGGACTCGGGCAGCAGGGTGACACAATTCACTCAGGGAATCTAAAGAAAAGGGAAGTGTCACTTGAGCAACCCTGGTAACCCATAAACAGTTTGGGTGGTTCTTTCTGGTTTTGTTTTTGTAAGAAGATGAAGTTTCATCACATGACTTGTGTCTGTACATCACGTGCTGTTCAAGTCAGCATCTTGGGGTTGGCTCTGTTGATGACACAGAACTTTCCTCTCCTCCTTTGTGACCAGGAGACATTTCCATTCTCTTTGTTCTTATTTCACCTCTTGAGCAGCTTTGTAGTCTTTTCTCTGGTTCTTACCCATGATGCAACTCTTTCTCTAAAGGTTTATCTTTTAATTAAGTGTATCTATGTGTGGGTATGGGCAACTGGATGCAGATGCTCATGGGATTCCCAGGAAGCCGTAAGTGCTGAGAACCGTTCTTGTCTTCTACACGAGCAGTGGGTACTCTTAACTGTTGAACCATCTCTCCAGGCTCCATGATCTAACCATTGAGCAATCTCCCCGGGCCCCATGATCCAACTCTTTTTCTTTGTTTGTTTTGAGATTGTCCTTCTATGCAGTTTTAGCTGTCATGGAACTTGCTGTATAGATCGGACTAGCCTCAAACGCACAGAGATCCTTCTGCCTCAGCCTCCCAAGTACTGGGGTTAAAGGCGTGTGCTTGAGTCCTTTAGAATTCTGCCTTTGGTCTTCTCTTTGCCTCTGTGTGCTCATATGTGTGTGTATACATGCTCTTATGGGTAAAACAGGCCCACCACCGACTTCATCTAGAAATAGGGGTGGATAACCTATCTTTCACCATGTTCCCTCTGTGAGGCCTCTGCATCCCACCCAGCATGCTCCCAGGGGCTATATTTTCCTATGACATGTTTCTCTTTTTCTTTTTGAAAATGTCTTAAGTAGCCCAAGCTGGCCTTGAACTTGCTATGTAGCTAAGGGTAACTATGAACTCCTGCTCCTCCAGCCTCCACCTCCCACATACTGAGACTACAGAGGAGCCACCACATCCCGTTTATGTAATGCCAGGGATGGACAGGTACTCTACCTACTGGGCTACATCCCCCTGGTCCTCCCTTCCCTGTACATTGGACATCTTCAAGCATGCACTCACACTGAGCAGACTGGTTTGCTTTTGTCCTTAGTTTTAGTGACAGACTGTTAGTCACCCTCAGCATTCAGCCTTCGTGATTCCTAGCTAACAGAACTATTAATTTTTGCTTGGATGTGTAGCAACTGGAATGTAGGTTACTTTGCATGTCCGGCCTTCCTGTCCGCTAAGTGTGCTCATGTGAATAAATTCTGGCCGGTGGATATAAGGGAAGCCTCCCTAGCCCCTTCCTCCAAGGAAGCATATTTCAAGAGACCGTTAGAGGCAGGAGATGCCTTGCAAGTAGCAAGGCCGTGGGGACAGATGACCCTAACGCTTTGGATCTACACGGATTAACCCTCAGGACTGAGGACTAAGGCTTCCTATTCTATCGTGGGCATTGTTGCTATTTAATATACTGAGAGCCAGCGTTGGCCTCATGAGGTTGGCATAGAACTCACTCTAGCACAAGATTCTCATTTTGGCAAATAAATTCCTTCCAGCTCTTCTCCAAGGACATCAGACTGCAGTTCAGTTACCAAACAACTGTTTTCAGTTTTACCCAGCAAGCCTTGGGGCCTCATCATGTCCACAGTGGCTTAACCACTACACCACACTCTGTCCAATTGCTCAGAAGCTAGTCATTGAATACGCCTTGAGACTTTGAGTGGAGATCCTTAGGTGCCCATTCAGTGTGCCTGGCTATAGTGTGCCTCCCTGCCCGGGAGGTTTTGTTGCCTTTGGTCCATTTGCAGGTTACTTAGGCAGTCATCTGAAGTGTTGACAGTTGATTGATCGAGGAGGTAGACATCTGGCCAGCTGTGAACCTCATTCACATAAGCAGAGACCACAGTGTCTCTGATCACAACGCTTTTGCTGTGGGCTCTTGATCACAGGCAGCCGGATGGGGTCACAGCATACTTCCCCGCTTCCTACGTGGCTGTCTGAATGGATGAGGACAAGTGCTCTGTGCACACGAGCAGATAGTCACAAGCCCGGGGCCATTCATTAACTGTAGCTATGTGGAGGTCCTTGTAGAGTTTTGGCACCCCACCAATAACATGAATTTCAAAATAATCAAATGGGCTGTGTAAGCTAAATGGCAAAATATCTGCTTGGCCCATGTAAAACTTGAGTTGAACATCAGTACCATAAAACAAACAAACCAACCAACCAAAACAAACTGTTGACATTACAGTTTTGTTTTTTTCTATTTTATTGGGTTCTTATATCTCTACCTCCCTTTCAACCCTACTCTACCCAGATCCCTTCCAGCCCCTGACACTAGGTAGAAGAGAAAGAAGGTTAGAGGGGCAGGCAGTGGTGGCGTACGCCTTTAATCCCAGCACTTGGGAGGCAGAGGCAGATGGATTTCTGAGTTCGAGGCCAGCCTGGTCTACAGAGTGAGTTCCAGGACAGCCAGTTCTCCACAGAGAAACCCTGTCTGGAAAAACCAAAAAAAAAAAAAAAAAAAAAAAAAAAAAAAAAAAAAAAAAAAAAAGGTTAGAGGGGAAAGGGGCGTAGACCTTTTTCAGCCTACAAACTAGATTACTTCCTGCTGATTAGTTTCACTGGGTTTCTTGGGGGCAAGTCCAGTCTTCACAGTTGGGATATCTCAAACTTCAAGTCTCTTTGCTCACAGTTACTTGACACACTGCAGCAGCAGGGAGAGCGGCAGCTGCCCCAGGCTCTCTCATTTACCCCCTTGCCATACATCCCAGAATTTAAGCTATCTGCAGCTGGCAAAAGTCACACTCCTGCTAGTGCTCGAGGCAAATCATAGTCACCTGCTGTGAAGCAGCCTCTTATCCCACACCTGGGATTAAAACAAAAACATATTCACATAACATAACTGGGTTTTGTAAGAGACCCAAACTCTCACTACACTAAATCACACCCTCTTTCAAATAGACCACGTTATCCATCTAAACAAATGTTTTTGTTTAAACTTGCTACTTTAGTGTCGTCTGGTGAGATAACTGAGCAGTTTTGTCTTGTTTATTTGTACTTTGGTGTTTTGTTTTTGAGACAGGGTCTCCCTATGTAGACTTGGAACTTGCTCTGAAGACCAGGGTGGCCTCTAATTCACAGAGATTCACTGCTTCTGCCTGATGATGGGATTAAAAGCATGCCCCACCACAGGATTATTTTGTAGTTACTCCTAGGTATTATATTATTTCAGATGAAAATAAATTTCAGTGTGTACCCCAGAAGGCATGTTCTGTTACATTTTTTTCCTTCTATGTATATGGATGGTTTTGCCTCGTCTATGCTTGTGCACCCTTGGCATGCAGTGCCAGAGGAGGCCAGAAGAGGGCGTCGGATCTCCTGGGACTGGAGTTAAAGCCTGTTGTGAGCTGCCATGTAGGTACTGGGAATCAGATCCTGGTCCTCTGGAAGAGCAGTTAAGAGCACAGATGTCTAAGTGTATTTCCCAACTCCTCTTAATCTACCAATTAGACTTCCTTCACCTTTCTTTAGAAATTGTTTGATAAAGACTATGTCGGGTTTGTACCCCTGAGGTGTGTGCTGTAACTTATCACCATCCCCCAGTCTCTATTTCCTGTAAATTTGTGGTTGCATCTGTAGGTTGGTCAGAACGGTTGCTCTGGAAAAAAAAATCTCAATAGGTGCTGCCGTTCACTCCTACCCATCTCTCTCTTCCAAAGCATCTTTTAAAGGTGAATATGATCCTTACACGTGGACGCAAGTCAGCCTGAGTAACGCGGGTAGCAGTGCTGGAAAATGATGGTTTGAGTTGGAAATAAAGTGTGATCGAGCAATGAATGATGTTTGTGTGGTGGGTAAACAGGTCCTGAAGGAAATTCCCAAACTCTTGTGTGCAAGGCACAAAGTACAATCACCCAGGGTGACTAATGTGACGGAACAACAGTGACATTGATGGAGAAAATGTGTGTTGCTTCTAAAATTAGTTTTGCTGTGTGGGTGGATGCGCCAGGTGTCCGCTTATAGTCACCGGCCTGTCTTCAGGACCCCCTAAATGTCTCGAGTGTCGCTCTTAAGTTTTAAAGTTGGAGATGTTGAAATGTAGGCACACCTAGCACCCCAATGAGGCCCCTCGCCTTAGCGCTCATCCATCCCACAGCCTGACATTCCCCAGCCATCTGGATGTGTTGACAAGGGTGCTTGGGTTACACCCAACTCCTCCCCACCCTGTTCGCCCCGTCTCCATTACTAGGCCAGAATGCAACCAGGACACTATAGGAGTGCAGGATGCTTCTGAGCCGTCAAGCAAAAAAGAAAAGAAAAAAAAAAAAGGAAGCCCACGGGGAAGCTCAGACGGCGCAGGCGCGCATATTCAAGCTGGAGGGCCGGCTTAGCTGACATCCCGTAGAGGTCCCAGTTCCCGCTCCGCGGAAGGACCCCAGCTGGAGTGCGCATTTGAATTTTTTCTGGGGTCTGTGGCCGCTAATTGCGAAGCCCCGCCCGCCGCCATGGCCCTTCCCCCTCCCCCTGATGCCCAGAGAAGGAGCCTCGGGTGCTCGCTCCGAGACCGCGTCCTGAGCCCCTCCTACGCACGCGCAGATTGGCAACTCGCGCCGGCGCAGTACGGCCTCTAGCCAGCCGGGCGGCCGCCCCTCCCCCTCCCTAGCAACCGCCTCCCGCTCCTTCCCCCGCCCCCTCGGCCTGGTGTGCGCACGCGCGCCCCTTCCGGGCTGGCCCCTCCCTCTCCGTCACCCGTAACAACCACTCGAGCCCTCGCCGCGCCCCTCGGCCCTCCCGCCCCGGTCCCCCTCCCCGGAACCGGCGGTCGAGCGGCGGCAGCCGAGCCTGCGGCACGGCTCTCTCCTCACGGAGCCGCCGGCATGAACGCATCCCGCCGCCCCGCGTCCCCGACCCGGTCCTTCTGACAAGAGGTAAGCGCGCGTCGTCGTGGAGGGTAGGAGCGCGCCCGGGTCCCCGCCCCCGGCCGGGTCCCTTTGCTCGGACTGCCCGGGGCGCTCGCTATCTCGGGGACTGCGGAGCCAGCCGGATCCCGCCGCCGCCGCCCCCCCCCCGTCCAGCCCCGGCCTGCAGGGAGGCACTCCTCCGGGGCCGACCCTGGGCTGGTTTTCAAACATCAATTATCATGCAACAGAGGCAGCCGGGGCCTCCGGTGCCATTTGGCGGTGGTCACTCCGGATGCCCGCGCAGGGCGTGGATCTGGACCTCCTAAAGCCGAGATCTGGCCCAAGTTCAGGGAGCTGGCGAGCAAGCCGGTCCTTCAGTGTAGTCACTTTGGGTAAGAGTTTTTAATACAGGCATCACGCAGTGCTTGCATCTTCTCTCCTACCCGTCAGCACCTGGTAATCATCCTCCTTTTATTTGGGAGATATCCGAAAACTAATATTCTCAATTAAAAATATATAAACGATTATTAGATTTCCCCCACCGCGCACCAGCGTTGTAAGGTTTACGAGAGTGAATGGAACGCGGTCTCTGTGCTCCGGGACGCGTCAGCGCCTGAATCGAGATTACTGAAAGCTGGAGTTTGGTGAACCGAGGAGTCTGGCTCCCGGCCTCATGGCTTGAGAGCTGGGAGTGTGTGTAAGATCGCCTCACAGAGATGGGATCAGCAAAGTCGAATGGCATGCTTGAGGTCACCCAGAGTTACTAGCCTTTGTAGTTTTCCAACTGTTGGAGGGTGGTTTTCCAACATAACCTGCTCCTTCCTATGAGTGCTATGCCAAGCAAACATACCAGAGAAAGTTCCAGACCTGTTTAAAGCTACGTAAACATTGTAGAAGTGCGGCTGTAGATACCAGTCCTCTGAAGTATATCAGCATAGGGGGTTTTTTCGGTTTGTAATTTTTAAACAGCTGTAATGTAGGATACCTAGATACTGGGTTTTTGAACTTTTGAATGTCTTTTGGCTGTATTCAGATAAAATAACATCCTTATTGGTTGAGCCTCAGCAGGACTAATGGGCTCACTGGACTTTCCTTCCTTTTTATATTTCTGTTTGTTTTTCTCCTCTTCTAAGTAGGTGAGCAAAACGTTCTAGATGACTCTGAACACACAAGGGTGTTTGTAGAGAAAGCCGCCCTTGCCAGCACTGGAGTGATTCTGTATGCAAAGGAGGGTTCCTTGGCCTCTGGCTTGAGCATGTAGTGGATTGCTTTGCAGGATCACAGCTTCAGGCTGGAGAGTTTTGGAACCCCTTAGCTGGAGCTGGGCAGCCTCCCTGCTGTTTGTAGACAGTCTCTGAAATTGGAGCGACCAATTAGAAAATGGGAAACAACAAAGTTTCCTTTGAAGTTAAGGAGTATTCCATCATTTAAGAAGACAGTATGGGTCCCCCTGCTTTTTGTGTCATCCCCAGAGCATTTGCCTTAACATGTTACAGTTTTATTTGACTCTTGTAGACATTGTTGAAGAGAACACCACTGAATCTTAGGATTTCATGGCTGCGGAGAAAGGGCTAGATCTGACCTAGGCCAGAGACTCAGGAATGCCCATACAGGGGGCAGAGGGCCTGGCCTCTCCAGATCAGTGTTGCCCCTCCTTCCATGTGGGCCGTCTTTGCTTGTTCTTAATGCCCTGTTGCTTCCTCTGTCAGGCTGTTTTAGCGAATCCTCTTTTGTGTGTGTGTACGTTTGGGATTATAACTGTGGTGGTCTCTAGGATGTGGTACGGCACGAGATCCAGACTCACTCTTTTTGTGTAATGTGGTTATTATTTATTACACGTATTTTTATTTTTCAGGAGTAAGAAGATTGCTATTGAATTACAACCATGGTGCAAAAATACCAGTCCCCAGTGCGGGTGTACAAACATCCCTTTGAGTTGATTATGGCTGTAAGTACCTCACATTTCAGTTTACGCTGGCTTCTCTTTAAGATTAAACTTCGATGATCCGAAAACTATGCTCACTGTTATCATTGCCTCACGAGCTCTGTTCCCTTAGGTGACAGTGACTGTGACCGGCGACCAGAGACTAGTGGTTTAAACAATAAGCCCCTGAAGCCGCAAATCTGTACGCTTGTGTTTTTGCAATGTATCTGGGGTGACATGAGCTTGCATCATTCACCCCCGGAGAACGCAGAAGTAGGATCCTGACCAAGCATTTCTTAGGAGTCTTGATGGTTTTCTTTGTTCAAGTAGCTGCTGGACAGGAAGTGCTGCGTTCCAGTGCTGCTCCTTCCGGACGCTGTGTGTTTGGGAGAGCTCTCGGTTCCTGAGGGAGCTCATCTTGTTGGTCCCAGGATTGAGCACTGTGGGACGGGGTTCCCCTGCATGTTAGTAAATAGTTCTGTTTAGTAAGTTTTCCCAGCAAATAGTGAATCCATGATTCAAACCGGCATTCCACAAATAGCGTGGCTGAAGGGTTTTTTTTTTATCTACCTGAATTGGCCTAACAAGCATTTTACTGGATTAAAAACAAGCCAAGGGCTATTCCAGTGACCTGTGAACTCCTGCCCAGCATCCTGTATCTTTGTGTCTGTGTCACTGGGATGGATGGCATGAGGCCCGTGTGGAAATGTGTGACACACAGGAAGAGTGCATCTGTCTTAAGAGTCACACACCCAGGATACACCCGTGCCACTAGCACCAAGCTCAGGACATGCATAGTCCGGTAGGGAGATGAACTTTGCTGTATCCTGTGCCCAGTCCTGTCAGAATAAGGATCCCGGGCTGGCCTGGAACTCACGACCTCCTTGGGCTTCCAAGTGCTAGGGGTTACAGTTGCACACCATTATGCCTGGCTGCTGCCAGCTTCCTACCCTCGGATGACGCTACCCGTTTCTATTCTCTGTATAGGGAAGCTCAGACTTGCCTGTTCTTGGAACTTCTACTCAGCAATGTGCTTTGAGATTAGTTAGATCAATAGTCTTGAAAAGCAAAATAAAAACTTAAATCCTTTCAAGGGAAGGTTGCTTGCATTTTTCTTGACTGAAGTGTTACTTACAGTGAGAAGGCCTCACACAGCTGTGCAGCTCAGTCAGTTTTAACAATAGTCGCTCACCTCTGTCAGGGCCGGACACTTGCATCTCTGTCAGGTGTGAGACTTGTTTGTTGTTACGGTGGGGCCTTCGTATCCTAAAATAGGTTTGTATTTCCCTTAAATATTTTATGTGAGTGATTCATGAGAAAGATGCTTTTTGGTTTGCACGCTGGCTTGACTTTTGGTTGTATGGAACACCCCACCCTCTCCTTCGTGCTCCTCCCTCCCCAGCTGGTTCCAAAGGATCGGTGTTAGAGGGACACCTGTGTGGTGTGATAGGAGTCCATAGACGTTGAAGAATTCCCACTGGGACAGGCTGGAGCCTGCTGGTGGAGGGTGGCTCCTGGAAGTGGTTAGATGTGCCTGGACTGGCACCCCACCGACCGACCCCTGCATAGTCCCCTCTGTCCTACTCCACACTGGCTTAGTGTACGCTGTCTCCTGTGGTTACAGGTCAACTCAGTGGTATTTCTTGGTTGCATCTTTGAGTTTTTGAGTGACCAGTTCTTGTAACATGGCCTACTTCACTTTCTAGAGAGAGAGTCTGGATCTGCCTTCTTCCTGAGGCTCAGAGTGACTGAGGCTCAGAGTGTCCACTGGGGAGTCACCTGACCTTTCTTCAGTTTGCAAGGCTGCTGGAGTCAGGGAGGAGGTGTGTGTGGAGGCACAGGATGGGGCTGGCAGGTTAGGTTTGCCAAAAGTGTTTTAAAAAGCTCCATGTGGGCTGGTGAGTGGATCAGCTGGTGAAGACACGTGCGTCAAACCCGTGATCTGAGTTTGATCCTGAGACCCAGGAAGCAGAAACAGAGAACTGTGCTTGCATTTTGGCATGCTTACCCTCCCCAGAAGAAATGGGATTTTTCCCCCCCAAAACTCTTGCCGTGAGTCTGTGGTCTGAGGCAGAGATTAGCCTCTTCTAACCCTGGATTTCATAAACAGGTGTCTGGGTTGCTTAGCCTTCAGAGTTCTTGATGTCCTTTACTGTTTTCAAAATTAGGAAGTTTGCTTTGCAAATTTTATGCAAACTTTGTGTAAATTCAAATTCTTAGCCACCCCTAGTTTTAAAAAACTTGTAAACTGCTTTTCTGTTTGGCACTGGCTAGCTTCCCCTTGGATTGTTAATTTTTTTCCCTTAGGTCTGAAAATAAAATCTATTTCCTTTCTCCTTTCAAAACTGGAGTGGTCAGTTGCTCTAGTCCTGTACAGTACCGCACGCCTTTTCCTGACTCTGATTCTGAGTCGAAAGAGCCTCAGCGTTTGGTCTGCGTTATTTATTGCTTTATTAAGGCAAACTGTAGTGTAGTATGTGTCGTGTAACCAGTTGCCCTGAGAGGGGGACTGTAGCTCATCCTCCGAGGGGGAGGGAAGGGGAGAGGGAGAGGGCACGAAACAGGTTCCTTCTTGTCCTAGGGAGAAGGCTAGGAGGAAAGGACTCCTCTCGCTTACTCCCGTGTGCCTGTGAAGCCATGTTTTGTGACTGTGGATTGTAGAAAATTGTCAGCTGAGCGTTGCCTAGTACAGACAGGGGGTCACATTTTACTTGCATTTTGATTGAATAAATGAAAGTTTGTTGTTGGCTTAGACATCAACAACATTTAAAAAATGTTAAAGGTTTCTTTAGCTCATTTGAATAAAAAAATGGTATTTAAGCAAACAGAGCTGAAGTGACGGTTTCCAACAGGCATTTGTGACATTCTGTGAACTTCAGGTGAGAGGGAGGCTAACCTAGAAACGCCTGCAGAAGTGGAGAAGGTGGCAGCTCCCTGCCCTGAGGTGGGTGAGAGGAGTTGGTGGGACAATGATATTCTTGGGTCAGTGTTCTTTTTGTCACCATGCTTCTGATAATGATACTTTATGAAGGTTCTGTTCTACGGTGATGTCCATGTCTTCAGGTATCAGTTCGACACAGTTCCTGGATGGCTACCTTCTGTTTGCTGCTTTCGCTGTCTTGTTTACTCAAAAGGTTTATGGTCTCCTGGGAATACCCAATGTGCTCCACAGATCAGGGTTCGAGACCAGGCAAAGGTGGACATGCTGGGGTGGCACTGTTTCCTTTTGAAAAGTCTAGGACAAAACACAAGCTTTAAAACCCAGGCAGGTGTAGCCGTGCATGTGGCTGCAAGGGAGACTCAAACTCAGACCAGGGTTGGACCCTGACTCAAAAACAAAACAGCAGAGAGAATTTTAGTTATGTTAAAGACACTCTGACTGGACATGGGTGAGGAGAGCTGAGAGGTCATGGCGGGAGAGCTGTGGCATTTTTCTGTCAAGGACAGCTGTCTCTGTGGACAAGGGAGATGTGTGATGGAAGGGCTCTGACAGCGTCACCCCGCCCCCAACACTCATCGGAACTGTCCTGTCCTGCTTTTGCCCTGGCATCTCTATCCCTCCTGTCCACATCATGGTTTCTCTGTCTCTGTGCATTCCACAGAGCCCCCTCCTCCTCCTGGATGCTTTAGTCAGACACCCTGAAGATTGTGCCTTTGGGCCATGCAGTCTATCCCCCTCAGTCTCACCCTGAGCCCTTGTCCTGTAAGCATAGCAACCCAGTTCCTTGTTCATTTCCCCTCAGTCTTTGAGCCCCTCAGGGCACCTGTGGACCACCCCTCCACCCCACCCGGTTGGTTCTAGAGGTGATTTCCTGCTACCTGCTGTCCCTATGGGGCCCTTCCTGCCTGCCCCGGCCCTTTAAATCACTGTTCTCAGGCTGTGAGCCGGGTGCCTCCCTGCCCGTCCATGTCTTTTTATACTCCTTTGCCTCCCATGCCTGCCTTTCCCATCTGTCTTTTCAGATCTGCTCAGTATGTCCTGCCCTGCTTCTCTGGTACCTCTGGAGGCATGCCTCATGCTTTGCTCCCTTCCCCTGTTTGTTTTCTTTCCCTTTCTCTGCTGGGGGGGGATGAACCCAAGGCAGCATGCCCCTGGGCACGTGGCCACTGCTGGGTCGCAGCCACACTTGGACTTGTCTGTAGTACTTTGTCAGTGTTAGGTCTTTGGCTTATGACTCTAGTTGCTTCTCTTCTCCAAGGTGTGTGGTCTGCAGCAGTGCTGTCGCCTCGTTTCCCTGGGTTCCGAAAGTACACAGGTGCTCAGGCCTGAGCTGCGGGACTCTGCTATTCACCTGAACCTTTGCCTGGATTTGGTGGGGACCTCGCTCTCATGGGGCTTTGTGATTTCTTGGGTCCTTAGGTTCAGGGCCTTCCTCAAAGAAGGCCCCTCTGTCCTGATGAAAGCCAGTGCTGCTTCATCCGGTGAGGTGTGCAGAGCTGCTGGCACACACTGCAGTAGCAGTGGAAACGGTTGCTGTGCAGTTGAAGAACCAGAAGCTGTAGTTGCCGCGTGGCTGTTGGTTAAATAGCCGATGGCACAAGTGCGTTGTAGCCTTTCTCCCTGTTCCTTCCGTGGACTTTTCCCATTTCCCATTCTGTATCTCGAAGCCTCTCTCTAACACAACTAAAAGGAGGAAAAAAGAGATTTGCTCAGAGATGTTAATTCCACCTGTGTCTCACCCCCACTGGCTAGCCAGTGATGAGCAGCCGTATCCTCCTCTGCCCTTTTCTGGTACCTCTCTGCCCACCTCCAAGTACCAGACAAAACCAAGACCCTTTGTACACACAGATGGCCGTGCAGTGGATCTTGTACGTCAGATGGGCATTCATAGTTATTATTCCGGCCATTGGTATAGAAGAGGAAAGGGCGCCTCTGTTTCCTATGAGTCCCTCTGGCCTCTGTAGGGTGCTGGGAAGAATCCTGAGCTGGAGTTCGTCCTGAGGGGGTGGCTCCTCCCCCTGAGGATGAGCAGGCTGGACTACCTGCTGGATCCACAGATCAGCAGTGTTGACTTCAATATTGT